TCGCGATTGATTATGCAAAGCCGCGGGTCTCTGTGGGCAGCTTGCAGGCGGGCTGGGGGCGCCCAGGGGGTACCCGCTGCCAGCTTCAGCCTTTCCAGGCGCCCCGGTGACCCTGTCACAGCCTGGGAGCTTGCAACTTACGCCCTGAGGAAGGGAGGTGCTGCTGGGAGGTCGGTGGGCCCCGGGGTTCGCCGAAGGAGATGGCGTCTGGGCCTCCCCCTCGAGGGCCCGCCCGGCCTCTGTCCGGCCGGTCTGCTGCGCATTCCCAGGCCGGCCCCGCTGCCGGAGCTCCCCCGCCCGCCGCGCCGCGGTTTGTTTACGGTGCGCCGGAGGACTGCCCCCACCAGCCCCCACCCCTAGCCTCGAAGGCCGAGTGGCCTTTGCAAAAGCTGCCTCCAGCTGCGGAGGGCAGTGTGAGTGCGGTGGTGGTGGTGGTGGTGGTGGGGGGAGGTTTGCGTGGATCGGAGGAGAGGGAAGTCCCCCTCCCCTCACCCGCCTCCCCAATTGAGCATGGCTTTCTGGTTGCAACATTACTAATTGCAAAAAAAACGAGGCTGGTGGGGTGGGGTGGGGGGAGTGTGTGCATGTAGTGGTGGGGATGTGCTTGATGGTCCCTAGATGACTTAAGGAGAGTTGCTGGCTGGCATGGCTGGGGCAGAGAGGAAGGAATAGAGCTGTGTTGTGTGCCCCCTCCTTGTTTCCCTCCCTTTGCAACGTGTCTCTGGTGCCCCTTCTCTGTCTAGGGCCCTCCCTTGTCCAATATGAAAGGAAGGCCTGGAGGGATGACAAGCAATGGAAAGAGCCATCAATTCCAGGGATTGGAGGGGTGGGCGCATAGAAGGAAAGCCAGTAAAATGGGAACCTGCCTCTCAATACTGGCTCCAGCCCCAGGAGTGGGGGAATAAAGGGGGTTGCAAGATGAAAAGGGGAGCAAAGGTGGCATGCAGACACAGATATGTCCACACAGACAACTACCCAGGGACACCCAGGCAGACTCAAGGACAGGAGCTGCTGGACACACCCACATGGGGACAAGGGAAGAGGCTGCCTGCTGATGCACTGTGGAGCTCAGGGTGGGACACACCCACGGGAGACCAAGAGCAGGGAGACCAATCCATGCATGTACCCACGCACAGGGTCACACAGAGATGCTGTCACACGCAGGGGCAAGGAGGAGTCACTGTCACCCACACAGAAAAAGTCACTATTGCATGCATGCATGCACACAGAGCATTTGCACACAGCCCGCACAATTACAAAAGACCCTGTCACTCACAAGCACACACGTGCTCACATGTGCCCAGTCACCAAGTCATCATCGCCTGCCGTGGCAGTTGTTGTCACTCAAACACAAATGCAGCTACACATCAGTACATGTGTACACAACTTAGCAACAAGTATTTTCTGGACTCTTACTGTGGAACCCAGAGGTTCTATAGAAAGAAGAAAAAAAAAAAAAAAGAAACAACCCTGCTCCTGAAAAAATAAAATTTGAATGAAAAGACTTTCCTGCATAATGGTGCAAAGATTACATTCTAAATAACACATTCCAGTCACTATTGCTTGTCATACCACTGTTACTAGATGGCAAGCTCCTTGAGACCTGAAAGAATCATTGGAAGAGTTCTGGATCCCTCTCAGAACCTAGCCCAGGATGTACTCTGTAGACACTTGTTAATTGATTGACTGTGGGAACTCCAGACACAGGTGCATTTATTTGCGCACAGTCCCACGGACTCAGGTGCACGACGCATGCACAAGGCTCCAGTCCACACAGTCACAGGTTTACGCCAGCATTGTTCAGACAGCCCGGGGTGCACACATTGCAACCAGGGCTGCCTGGCATACACCTAGATGCACAGGATCATAGACTTTTTTCCTTCACCTTCTTTCTGTCTGCTTCCTTTAGACTCAGCACTGTTGGCAATGGACTTTTTTTTTTTTTTCCTTTTGGAGGGACAGAGAAACAAGAGCAAGTGGGCACAGGGGGGTTCCAGAGGGCCGAATCATGGACCCAAAACAGTGTCCAGTGACTTCTAGCAGCTGGGATTGTCCTGGTTGCTCGGGGAGGAGGGTGTCTTGGGAAGAACTGGTTCCTAAGGAGCAGATCTCTAAACCCTACCCTAAAAGCCAAAAGGGACCTAACTGCCCCTGCTAGGGGTTATTTGCCTGGGCCTTTCTTGGGGACCCTCTGTTGCCCCCAGCTGAGTGCCTGCCTCCCACCGGGAGTCCGCCCCTTTTCCCACCTTGGCTCTCCTGTCCAAACTTGGAAGCTTTCCTTAGGAGGCCCTAGGCTGGCGAGTGTCTGCGTGAGTGATGTGTATTTTTGACTTGGAATTTCTCTCTAATGCTGTCTCTCTGTTGCTCTGTTGCTCTGTCTTGGGGTGTCTGATTCTCCCTCTCTTGTTCTTCTGCCAGTCTGTAACTCTCTCTCACCCTGTCCTTGTTTCTGTTTCTGCCACAGCCTCTTTTTTCAAGCTGGGAACTGGCAGCGACTGTTCTTCATACTTTTCCAGTTGTTAATACTCAAACTGTGGCCCTCTGCCCCGCCCGCCCGCCCAGCCTCTGGGGTCAGCGGGAGGTTGTGGTGGGGGTGGGGGGCTGGGGGGCTCAGCTGGCTGCTCAGGACATCCTGCACTTCCTTAGTGCTGCAGCTGCAGCTGACCAGCAAGTTTTGGGGGCTGGGAAAGGGGGAAGAGGGGGGTCAGCTACTGTCAAAGGGGTCAGCTACTGTCCATGCTGACCCCTTAGGTTGGCAGGTCCAGCCAGGGGACACCAGTTCTGTGGACACCCTTGCTGTGCAGATTGCAGATCCTAAACAAGCCAGTGAGGCCTCCTCACTGACCCAAGCCAGTGGATATTGGCTGGAGTTGGCAGGACTGGGTCAGTTGGGTCCACATCAGGACTTGCAATGGCCTTTCTCCACACCCCTGGCAGCTGAGACCCACCTCAGAGATGCCCAACAGCTGTGTCCTTCTTGTTCGGCTCAAGCCTGGTTCTGAGGGTACAGCTGTTCAGAATCTGTGGGGCGCAGTGAGGCCCTGTCACAAACCAGCAGGTTCCAGCCCAGAGAGGGCAGAAAGGGCAGGAGAATTTGAGCAATAGGCACAAGGGCAGGGGACTCAAAGCCCAGGGAGGCACCAAACATTTCTGGCCATGCTTCCTTCTAGCCTTGGCCTACTTGGATGAGGAGGTACTGGTAATGATTCCATTGTGGAGACTCCTTGGGCTGCCACAGGAAGGAAAACTGAGGCTTGGTCACAGGAGACACTTAGCAAGATGAAAGAGCAAAGTATCCTTTTCCCAGTAGATCAGGGATTTATTTATTTATTTTTGTGGTGCCGGGGATTGAACCCAGGGCCTTGTGCATGCAAAGCAAGCACTCTACCAACTGAGCTATATCCCCAGCCTGCAGATATTTTTTTTTTTATTTCTTTCTTTCTCTAGAGTCTCCCTGGGTTTGAATTCCACCTCTGCCTCTTGCTGGTTTTGCAACCTTGCACAGAGTGATTAACTTCCCTCTTATCTATAAATTGGGGATGGTAATCTCTACCTCATTTAGCTTTTTGACCTTTAGAGAAGTTAAAATACATAAAATTATTTTAAAAGTGTCTGGGTCAGGCATGGTTGCGCACGCTTGCAGTTCCAGCAACTCTGGAGGCTGAGGCAGGAGGATCTCAAGTTCAAGGCTAGCTTGAGCAACTTAGCAAGACCCTGACCTCAAAATAAAAAATAAATAAATAAATTTTAAAAAGGGCTGGATATTTAGCTCAGTAGTACAGTACCCCTGGGTTCAACCACCCCAATACAAAGAAAGCGGGGGGGAGTACCTTGGTACACTCATACCAAGCTATATGTGTAAGCTTTACAGTAGAGGAAGAAACCTGTGGGCCTGGGGTTCCCAAGATTTCTTAGAAAAGTGTGGTAGAAAATTGAGTCTCCTAGACATCACAAGAAAAGGAATGGAACTAGGGTGGGGGACATTGGGTCTCCAGTTTCTAGCTTCCTCAACCCTTCACATCAAATCTTTTTTTATCCTATACATTTTTGCAACCATGAACAAGTGTATGGAGCCCAAGGCAGATTCCCTTGCCCACCCTCCTTGACTCTCTCCTTTTAGCTTAAAGGAAGTCCTTGGGAGGCGCTGGGGTTGTGGCTCAGCGGTAGAGCACTCACTTAGCATGTGTGAGGCCTTGGGTTCCATCCTCAGTATCACATAAAGCTAAATAAATAAATGTATTGTGCCCATTTACAACTAAAAAAGTATTAAAAAAAAAAAAAGTCCTTGGGAGCAGGGGTTGTGGCTCAGTGGTGGAGTGGTGGAGTGCTTGCCTCATGTTGTAGGGCATAGGGTTTGAACCTCAGCACCACATAAGTAAAATAAAGGCATTGGGTCCACGTACAAATAAATTTTTTTTTTTAAATTAAAAAAAAAAAGTCCTTGGCATCTCAGCCTGGGACACACCTCCTTAGCTAAGGGAACATGCATGAATCTTTGTACATAGCTACATCTCTCTTGGGACAAGTCTGAGTGAAGGGGCAGAGAGATAACAAAGAAAGTCTTTACTTCTCCCCACTTTCTCTCCCTTCTCCTGTGTAGGTATGGCACAGAGCTCAGGGAGGAACAGCACCCTTCCTCTCAGGGACCCAACACTGCAGCTACCAGGACCCATCCTGGCTGACAGATGCCAGATTCCACTTCCCTGCACAGAGCAGGCATTAATATGAAGGGTGGTAGCAGAGAGAAACTGAGACCCTGAGGAAGGACCAGCATGGTGGGCCTGGTACCTGGAGATCCTGGGTGTCTCCTGTGGTGTCTCTTTCCTATTTTGAGCCCGAGGATCAGGATCCCCTCTTCCCCAATCCCCTTTTATTCAGCCTCTGCCCTTCAAGGTGAAGCAAGGACAATGGTGGATGCCCCATGATGGGGTGACTGAGAGGCTGTGGAAGGGGAACCCATTCAATTCCACTTCTCACAGCTGTAGAGATGCTTGGGGAATTTTGGTGCCTCTGGGGGGATGCGGGGAGGCAGGCCTGACTGTGGAAAGATCTCTACCTGGGAGTTGGGAGGCTAGGTGTTTGCCATTCACCAATTGTGTGATTTGGGGCCTAGGTTTTTATTATTGAGAAACAATGATGTCCTTCCTACTCAGACTGAAGATAAAGGACATTAGGTAGTTCAGGCTGGTGTGTAGCTCAGTAGTAGAGCCATTGCTAGCATGTGCAAAGGCTGGGTTCCATCCCCAGCACTGCAAAACAAACAACCCTCCTT